TATATGAACAGGGGTTTAAAATACTGAAGATAAAACATTTTCCTTTCTCCAAGGATCCATGTAAATATTAGTCCATGCAGCTTCCATCTGCAAGATGAGCAGCAAACAAAACTCCTGCTTTTTATAGAGGCGATAACTCTGATGATGATCTATTAATCATTAGATTTCATTACCTGCAGGTGGCTGCTGCACCCCCTCCTACACACTGTGGAAGCAGCAAGGCTGAACTTAGTTTTTTAAATACAACTCTGTTTTGGCTTTTTGCTTTTTTTGGAAACTTGAAGTTAAATTGAAGTAATTTTAGAATCTAGTGTAGGTCACATCATACTATAAAACTTTGGAGTTTACCATCTTTTTCCTGTGATTATATCATCTACTTTTGAGGAGAACATTAACAACTGAGACAAAAAAAAAAAAGATCTAAACTCACATTTAACCCTGCAGGGGGGAAAAACACACGTTCGTCAGAGTTTTCTAACGCTATTTTTAAACATCAGCTCCATAATTTAAGAGCTGCACTTTTCTTTTCTGCAAACACCAGTGACATTCAATCATTTTCTTCTCCAAGGCCTTTTATTCTTCATTACTCTCGTACAACTTTCGTGACCTACCGTCCACCCGGCGGGGCAGGAACAGTCTCCGGTGATGTGGTGGCACGTTCCTCCATTCTGACAGGGGCAGCGCTGCTCACACTGAGGCCCGTGACTACCGGAGGGGCAGCTCTCTCCGCAGCTGCCACCACACAAGTCAAGAGTCAAAAATCCTGATGCGCATGAACATTTATTCACAGAAAATGCTAAAAGAGTTTAAAAAAACTGTTGCTTATACTCACAAAGCTCCACTGTACCCGGGCGGACAAATGCACTCTCCTGTCTCGTGGTTACAGGTGGCTCCATTGAGACACTGGCAGGGCAACTGGCACGCCTTGCCGTAGTAACCGTGCTCACAGGGTTCCTCGCAGCGCCACCCCTGGTACCCGTCGGTGCAAACACAAGCCCCTGTGATGGGGTTACACTTGGCCTCGTTTCGACACTGGCACCGATTACTGCAGTGAGGTCCCCAGAAGTCACTCTCACAGCCTGCAGGCACACACACACAAACACAAAGAACATCAAACGAGTCAAAATAACCAACAAAATGATAAAATCACACCATTTATCACTGGAAACACATGAAATCAAAGCAGATTTTTACACAACAAATAAAGCAATTCAATTATTCATAAGTAATCTCGCTAAAACATTTAATAACTCATCATAAATAATAAATGTCAAGAAAATTAATCCTCCCAGCAAATAGGTTTTTAATTGTATTCCGACTTCTGCCTTCATATTTTATAAGAAACAAAAAGATAAAAGCTTTTTGTTGCAAGAGGCTTAAAATCTGCTTTTATATTAAAAGAATGATACCAGCATTTAACAAACTGTACAAAATCATACGTACAGGAAAATTAAAGTCAGATGTGATATTTTATCATAAGCAGCCATGTTGGAGCAGCTGAGTCCAACAACAGGAAAGGTCAAAGGGTTTGACCCCTGATCCATCCCAGTGACATCAGGGGAAAAAAAACAAACCCTACAATGGTCCATGTGTGTGATGGTGGAGAAAATGTACTGCATTTATAAAGCACTTACACTTCATACAGCATAAGAATGAGAATATAATAGCTCAAAAATATACAGAATGAGAAGCTCATTTTGAGCGGCATCGTTGCTCAGCTGCTAGAGCTGCTGCCTCTCAACGAGAAGGTCACCGGATCAATCCCGGCTGGGGCCTTTCTGGGTGGAGTTTGCATGTTCTCTCCGTGCATGTGTGGGTTTTCTCCAGGTACTCCAGTTTCCTCCCACAGACCAAAAACATGCATGTTAGGCTGATTGGTAACTCTGAATTGTCCCTAGGTGTGAGTGAGAGAGTGAGTGGTTGTTTATCTTGTTTGTCTCTATGTGTCCCTGTGATGGACTGGAGACCTGTCCAGGGTGTCCATCGCCTCTCACACAGTGACTGCTGGATATGAGCACCAGCGACCCCCACGACCCGAAAAAGAAGAAGCGATTAAAAGATAATGGATGGATGGATGGTGTAATTGCACCTGCATTGCATTTTTCAGCATATTCCCTTTGCTGATGCTTTACATCCACAGACTCAATCCATTACACTGATCTGTTTACATAACCAAACATATTTCTCACATTTATTTGTCTTTTATAACATTAAAACAACAGATTTATGATTTAATTTCACTGAGGAGTGTCAAGAGGTTGAAAATGTACATTTACTGCAGGATCCAATGTGTACCCTGGGTTTCATGTTTCCCCACCCTCTTTGAAACTATATCACCAGCAGCTTTATTAAAAATATATCTGCTCACTTTCATTCGCTGAACAAAAATCAGACAAGTACCCTCTACAGGTCATTCCTCAATAAAAAGCTGCAGGGGAACAAATATACAGTAGAAATAGACAAAAACAGAACATGCAGACACCTCACATGGCAAATATGGAGAGATATAAAACACATGTTAGTTGAAAACAAAAGGTTTTGGCAAAGAAATAAAAAAGCACTGTTACTTCTGCAAGTATAGATTGCATCAGCAAAGGGATTCATAGATGTCCTTTAGACAAAAAGACTTTTTTCATGGTAAACCTGGAGATTTTCTTTTATTTCAGTCGGCTTTGATATGACTTTTCTCTTGTGGCTGTTTAAAGCTATCCAGTATATTCAGTATAAATAACATCATAGTGATAAATATGGAAACTATGTTTGTAAAGATTTAAAGTTGACAGCATAAAAATTCATTTCTGAGTCTGGTTTTGTTGGTTTTATTTTGTTTGTTTTTCTGTTCATTTGAGGCTACATGATCCAGTTACCTTGAACCTTGTTTCCTGTTTTATTTTGTAGGTTTCACTCAGTTCTACTTCCAGTTAGACCTTTTGCTCACACCTCAGTTTTATTGTGCTTATCATTATTGTACAATATTTTAGTTTGGCTTGATATGACAGAGTTTTGGATTTCCTGTTCTGCAGCACTTCGTCAGATTTTACAGCTTCCTGTTCAGGAACTCTGGAGCAGCAAATGTACTTGTGTTTAGACCAGAAAGGCTTGAATTGATGAGTAAACCTGAAGCCTTCTTGATGTAAAGTGACCGTGAGAAGCTTGAAGAGAGAAATGACTTCTGAGTTCATAATAAATGCCTTTGCAAGGTCAAGGTGTGAGCTACTTCCCTCACAAGCAAAGTAAATGACCAAACAAAACAAAATTAAAATAGAAGAATTCTACATAAAAACTGAAAACAGACAGGTATGCTTCTCATAAAGCCATATGTTGTCACAAGAAGACTCAAAATATTAACACAAGAAATAAAAAAAAATTAACGTGGCATGGTGGCACAGTTGGTGGAGCTGTTGCATCTCAATGAGAAGGTCGCCGGGTCAAATCCCGGCTTTCTGGGTGGAGTTTGCATGTTCTCTCCGTGCATGCGTGGATTTTTTCCAGGTACTCCAGTTTCCTCCCACAGACCAAATTGATTGGTAACTCTGAATTTTCCCTAGGTGTGAGTGAGAAAGTGAATGGTTGTTTGTCTCGTTTGTCTCTATGTGTCCCTGTGATGGACTGGAGACCGTACCTGTCCAGGGTGTACCCCGCCCCTCACACAGTGATTACTGGACATGGGTACCCGTGACCCAAAATGGAAGAAGCGGATAAAAGATAATGGATGGATGGATGGATGGATGGATGGATGGATGGATGGATGGATACACTAAGCACGAGTAGTACAAAAACAATACGCCGAACAGCAGCACGAACATGAGTCTGTGTGAGCAGATGAGTACGAACAAACACATCAACATGAAATAGATCAGCAGCAACATGAAACAGATCAGTAGCAACATGAAATAGATCAGCAGCAACAAGATGTGATTTTTCACAGTGATTATCCTGATTAGAGATTCATGAGTCTAACAGCTTCAGGGTAGAAGCTGTTCCTCAGTCTAGTGGTTCCACACTTAATGCCCCTCAACCTTCTGCCTGAGGGGAGCGGCAAAAAGTGTGTGTGCTGGGTGAGTGGAGTCCTTCATGATGCAGGTGGCCCTCTTCCTGCATCTAGAGGTGTAGATGTCTGTGATGGTGAAGCTACCATCGCTCTCTAACCATCCAAACACTGAAGGTTTAAACATCAGACATTGTAGTTCCACATGGAAATTAGTTCAGTTATAATGAGATAAGCAGCCATCACTGGCATTACAAAGCAGGAGGAGAGGATATGATGTAAAATAAAATAACACTTCAATACTCTGGGAATTGGTCTGTTTACAAAACCTCAATAAAATCTATAACTGAAAGCAAACTGCTAATTTTCAAGGTTAAATGAGCATCCAGCTTCTATATGATGAACAATCAGCTCGGAGAATGGAAGAAGGCAGTTTTCACTCCCAACAGGGTAATTGTTCTTTTGAGAAGCTTGGTGATTTAGGTGATTGTTGTGGGTTTTTATGTCCCTTCATCATCAGCAGCAACACCAGCAGCAGCTGTATTGCTTCACACACGAGCCCAGTTTGAGATCCCAGCCAACACAGCAGTCTGAGCAGCAAATATTCCATCATCGATTCTCACATCATTGCCGACTTTGTTGTAAATGTAAAGACACCCACCTCCCTCTTTGTATGCTTGCTTTGCCAAAGCTACGATCAGTCAGAGTAGGAGCCTAATGAAGCCTCTTTCATGGATGGCACTGAGGCCTGTTTGTTCCAGGTACGCAGCAGGAAGATGATCAGCCCTTCCCCATTACAGACAGGTTTGCTCCGAAGGGGGTCTCTAAACACCGGGCTGGTGCAGTATTGCTTCTGTGGCTGGACAGGCTAGAGGCCGCATTACAAGGCTCACACTGATTTTGATCTAATCTGCTCATGGTCTCCAGTTTGCCGTGAATGAGTTCCCCGAGGACTGAGCTGCTGCCACGCAAACGACCCCGGCACATTAAATCTGAGGTGTGTGCGGGCGGTGGCGGTAATGAATGAGCAGTTTAGCTGCAACTTGGTTTAGCGCTCTATAAGCACTCATCAGTGCTTCCCTCAGCACAGCAGAAAAATAGGCAGTGTCCACTTAACTACAAGCATCATGGATTCTACTCAGACTTGAACCATGCATTTTCTGTCCTTACATGTATAACTCGAAACATATTGAATTAAAGACTTAGTATTCCTTGAATAAATGCATTTCACTCACTGCCATTCAGGCTGGAGTTGTAAAATAAAGCATCTTATTTTATAAATTACCAAAGGTTGGCCTGTTTGGTTGAATCTTGAAAATAATGTTATACAAAACCTCATGCAGCATTGTTGTGCTTGGAATATGTGATGAGGATGACGCTCAGCTACTACCTCAGCTCTTTTTAGATGAATACTGGTCAAACTGACTGACTTAAAGCCACTGTTGCTAAGATCAACTGGCTGTAGAAGCCATTTTAAATTGGGTCATCTTCAAAAGTAAGGAATTGTAAATGTACATACAAGGTTCAAGGTTCTTTATTGCTATTTGCATGACATGTGGTACATGAGGTGGAATGAAATTGGGTACTCAAGGTCCCATTTACACCCCAAAATATCAAAAATATAAAGTATAAAAAGAAACAGTATACAAGGCTCTAAGATTATATGCTAAACACTAATAATGTAAAATAATATAGTATATTAAACAGCAGCCCGAACATGAGTCTGTAGTGAGCAGATGGGTATGAATACAGCAGCTTAAAGGCAAGAGATCAGCAGCATGGATAATCAGCACGATAAGTCACATATCGCCAATTAAAATAGCATTACAGTGATTCTTCTGGTTAGGGATTTATGAGTCTAACAGCTTCAGGGTAGAAGCGGTTCCTACAAGGATACATAGGGTTCATACAAGGGTTAGTTTGTGATAGTTTCATAAAAATCTGTTTACAGGTTAAGGAAATATTTTTCTAACAGACAGACTGACTCCAAAAGTGACAAACACATATAAACAAAAATCTTGTGCAAAGGATACTGTTCCAAATGTGTATTAGAGATGAGTTTCAGCTACTGTCATACAAAATGTTAGGTCA